TCAATGATTAACTACATGGACTATTGTGGGTGTGGTGTATATTTTGTAACTATTCTTTAGTATATCACTTGTGTGATGTAAGAATGTTAACACTGTTATATTCTTTTTTAGTATAATATGTGTGTGTGTAGAAGTTAATCATTTATTGCTTGCAAACCAATGATGGTAAGATGATGTCATGGGGTAGGACTGGATAAGTCTGACTTCTTCCTACTCCATTCAAGCATGTACTAGGTATAAGCAAATTGATATTGGATTGTGTGTAAAAATGTGTGTTGTTATATCAACTGTTTTATATGCTTGAAAGAATAAATCAAATCAAATCAAATCAAATCAAGGTGTGCACGTTAGCATGTCATCCCTGTCATAGCTGGTGCACTGCAGCGCACATGCAATCAGCCAGGAAATGGCGCATGAAAGAAAAGAAAGAAATGGGCTGAGGTATGTGACAAGGATTAAATTAAGCTTTTGAATAATACTGATGATTTTTTTTTGACTCAGGCACTACTGACTCCTGTAGATGGACATAAGAAAATTCCTTATAGGAGGCTGAGACAGAGAAGATGATCAGAAATGAGGGTGAGAGTGGTGAGACCTGGATGTAGTTGGTAAACAAGGTAACATTAGTTTTGTTAGCTAGTACGTAACCAGGCACAGATGTTCAAAGTGAAGTAAATTAGAGCTCTGTACAATGCATGTGATCATTTGGACTACTCTTAAAATACTATTCATCGGTGTACTACATGAAATACAATGAATGCCAAGTATGTTACATAATACATCACATGTAGTGGTTTATGTTCACTTTGGACTATTCTATATTCTGAATTTAATGAATATATCATATTTGATGCTGTTATCACACAGTCAAAATGATGTTTTTTGTCATGCTCATTTAACAAACAGGTGAACCTGAAGCAGGAAGGGAAAGTGTGGAGGAAGAGGTCTGTGTCTATGGAGACAGGTGTGTGACCACCAGCCATCCATTTCACAGTACAGTTTCGGAGTTACAAAAAATGATTAGATTATGTTTTTCTAAATTAATGATTAACTCGATTAGTTTAACTTGTTAAAGTTTAAATGACATATCAAACTGGGGCTGCTCAACAATTAATTACTGTGAAATGCAGAAGAACATAAAGAAATGCGCAATACAGGGGCAGACTTTTGAGAACGTTCTTAATGCATGTTGAAATAAATATTTTCACAAATATTAATATTTATACATGTTTACCTTTACCGGTAGTAGTTTCAGTAGTAGCAGTATGGTAGTGGAACAGTAGGCTAAGAAGTTCACATAGGACAATGGATGGCACATTTCATTCATAGAGCAGACATTCAAATATAAACAATAAAAAATTCTTTTTCTCACAGACTGCATATAAAAATGGACAAAGCATCACCACTTCCTGTCACTATGCAAAAGTGAAGCCATAATATCATGAATACACTGCCATCTTGCTTTTGTGATGCATTTTACAACCAGAATCTGCACAGTATTAACAAACACCAGACAAATTACCACTTGTACACAGTGGTATCAGCATGATACTTAAAATGACACAGATTACCTTTGATTTGCATTATGTATTTTTTAATTTAGCTCAAATCCCATCTACTAATATGTAGGGAGCAGGGTTTATGACCTATACTGCAGCGAGCCAGCGGGGAGTGGTGTGTGGGCTGTGGGTGTCTCCACTTCCCAGACCTGCCACATTGTCCATCTTGAGATACAGTCGATGGTTTTTCACTGGTAAGTATATTTTGCTGATAATAATTTGCATTGTTGCGGTGTTCCTCCTCATGCTGTAACCACAGCACATAATTAGCTTCAATCTGAAATTAGAATCATTTAAAGGGAGTAATTCAATATTACTACATCTATGGATCAAGAGGAAGCAGAGAGGAAACACTTGCTTGTAATGAAATAATAGGAATGCTCTAAAGAAAGAGAAGGCACTTCCCCCTTTGCATTACAACAAATTATCAAATTTAGTGGCAGGAGCATGTCCCTCTACCAAGTAAGAAAATGTGTTTCCGTTGTCCAATCAGATTGTAAGCCAAGGATACTGAGTCTTTATATTCCTCGAAAGAAATGTTTGCATCTGACCTGTTGAACTGGTTCAAAGAAACAAATGTGCATAGCCCTTCTGAGTGTTCAACTTGTAAATCTCTAATTCATGCATTTTAGCTTCACTGTGCTCTCACTACAATCTAAGGGGTGACCCAGATTCCAAGCAGCGCCCTGCTGAAAAGAGGCACAACTTTAAGCCAATCCTGTATATGAGAGAATAAACTAAATTAATGATGAAGCTCCAACCATCATACAATTTCCTTTAATATGAAAGGACGTAATGTGAATGTCCCTGTGCTCTGATTTAAAGAAGATGAAAGCTGTGGCACCTCTGAATTCATGGCAGACAGTGTAGTTCTTGCAAGATTGGAGAAAAATACCCTTTGGACAAAGCACAAGCACAGTTGTGTTCTTGTGTATATTGTCTCATGAGTAAAGTGTCGAGAAAATGTCATTTTCTCAAATTTTGATTGATTATTAGAGTATTTACCAGCACTACTGGATATAAAAGGTTGACTCCATACAAATAAAACTTTCTCAGCTCCTCCACATAGTACTTCAGCTCATAGTAACCAAACATTTTTCTCTTCCTATACAATGTCAGGCACTAGTTCAGCTTCCAAAACTGAATCTGAGGTCTGTCAGACTTCACCGTCAGGTCAAGCAATGACATGACAAACAAAAGAAAGGAAGGCATCACTGGCAATTCATTCTGTCAAGGGAGCAAAGATCATTTCCATTCATTATGAGATCCCTCCCTCTTGTTAAATGATTTTCCAAAGTGTCAAAAAGGAAAGATCCTTGACAAGCAGCAAAGACCAACACCAAGCTGATTACATTAGTCTGGGCCTCAGTGTTACAGAGCCATGGTGAGGAAGCAAGTTATCTCTCTCAGAAGAGAGCAAGATAGGAGACAGTATTCTGTTTAAATGTGTGTATACAGAACTGCATGTATGTAACTGTAATAATGCAACAACACAGTCACATAAGACTGATGTCACAACAATCAATAGCCAATCCTTACACCCTATTACCAATCCACAAATACATTTTCAAGATTTCAATTACTCATACAATCACTCACTTGTAGCTCTCTCTCAGTCACATTATTTTCAGACAAGTCAAGATCTAGGTTAAATAATATGTCTATGTTAAAAAATGATCAATTCTGACAGACACTGAAGAGTCAAGCAAAGTCTGACCTGCATTCAGCTGAGGTTGGGAGGAGTGTAAGATGACATCTGTTGACCAGTGCAGATCAATTGCCTATGTAGGTATAACCCAAATGTTTCAGCTGTAAAGCAATAGGTTTGACTGCAGCATGTATGGGAGAAATTGATCTCATAATCTTAAAGAGAAAAGAGGCGTAATTGCTTGTCATAATCAACAGGCCCGGTGAACGAATTAGACGATAACACTACAAACTATTGTGTATGACTAGGGAGCCAACACCACAATGGAAGCAAATCTGTTTGTTGCAATTTGACCTCAGGATATAGCAATAACACCACTCTAGTTCCATATTGGCACAATGAGTGAACAGAGTTATTAGAGTCAGTGCTTGAATTAAACTTTGTGAATCAACACCAGCCAAAATGGCTACTAGATTTTCAAATCACTCTTATTTTACAATAGCCAAAACAAGATTATAAATCACTTTGCCCATTTTAACCTATGGTCACTATGTACATTAACTCATCTGACAGCATCCTGGGGACTGACTGGATATTCAAGACATTAATCATGTGGACTTACACTGTCAGGATAAACAGTTACTGATCAAAGTAAAACAGCCCATCTGACCTGCTGGCTACAAGACAGAAAAGCAAGGCAGCTGTCACTGAAGCAAATAACTGTACAGTATGTATCAATCAGAACTCTCACTGGTGCTTAAATTACCTGTCAATCAAAGATAACTTATCACTAGGCTGTGTTCAAAACAAATGAACAAAAATACATGTTTCTGTCAAGTTAGCATGGGTGGTTAGCAAACAATACTGAAATGAATCAATTCAGCTGAAATTTGAATTATTTCTTAATTTCTTATTATGCCATTTATTTGGATTCACAGTGTTTTAAATCCAAACATTAACAACAATATTAGATGACAGAAACGGCAAATACTAAATGACAAATTAACATACACTGTTTTATAATCCCAACCGAGTGAAACTGCTTTACGTCAGCTAGCTGAGGGTAACGTTAACTATTACAAACAATACTAAGAAAAGTATGCGGTATTCAAGAAAAAAAAACTCCGACTTTTATACAGCTGCGGCTGTTAACATTACATCGTTACAACGTTAGCCGACTGAACACCACAATTAGTTGACGCTTACACAACTGACACCAATTTAACCTACATCATTGCAGCTACACCAGCCAGTACTGCCAGTTTTAGCTACAAAGCTAGCGTCTGATGACTCTAAGGATTAGCTAAACATTAACGGTACTTTCCATTACTGACTTGAACACATTGTTTACAGACTGCACGGTGTCTCTACCGCAGAAAGCACCACCTAGCCTAACATTAAAATTACTACGAACATCTGCTCAGCGTTTACTGGCTATGCACCAGAAGGAGAGTACCGTTAGCGCCTTTTGCATCGCTAGCTGCCTGCCACCCCCACCGGTGGTTTTGCAGGGGGCATCGGAGTTCGCAAAAAAGCATGGCAAAAATCACGAAGCCACCCACTCACATATTGATGTAATAAGTGTTGTATATGCTCATAAATTCGTGCGAAAGCGTAGAGTCCAGGGACCTACCTCGGGATGGAGAATAGGAACGCAGCCAGCTTCTTTCTCATATTCCTCCATAGCGTCAGCCATCTTGGTGGTGATGTTCGCTAAGCATTGTGGGAAACAAGAGGCTGTGTGGAGGGGAAATAGAGTAGGAGACAGGGGTTGTCAAAACCAAAACAGGTGAAGGGCAGATCACGTAGAAGATCACACAGGTCATATCGGATGCCGTTTCTAATATAAAGTAATATCAATATATCAATATAGCAATGACAAATAATAACATGTATTAATTAAATTAATTAAATATTTACAAGGCACTGTTATTGCCAGTACTGTCTCTAAGGTTTTATGTAAGAGTATTGCCTACCATATGACCCCTTGCTACTATTGTGTTACAAAGAAGATATGGTAAAAGAGCTTTTCTCCAGACATTCTCTGTGTATCACAACAATAAAATTGCATTATTAGGTGTCAATTTCAAAATATAGAGTTTAACTAAGATGATGGTTTTTCTTAGTGATGGCCATATGAGGACCCATGGAGCTTTGAACCCCTTTGGACCATTGTATCAAAAATTGGTTCACTACTGGAAGCTTCATTCATTGGACATGTGAGTGACATCTGCTGGAGCAGTGGTTGTTGTGCAGCGTTGCAAAGGTGACGCTAAAGCAACTTGCATGTGCACTGAGTTTTGTTGTAATGTGGAAATTACTTCAGGACTTCAGTGATGTTAGTTGTCATTAACATTATCCAGTTATTGTAACAAAAAAATATTAACATCCATCATGCAGCTAATACAATAAACTTTATTTTGTACTATCAACTAGAAGAAAAGGCAAACAGAAGGTCAAAAGGGGGTCATACAGATCTGTCCCTGGGTTAGTTAGTTAATTTCACAACAGCAAATTCAACTTGCTCGATTTTACACTAAAAAGTATAAAACCTGCCTTACTTCCTTCTTTTTTCAAGTGTATTGTGTGTATGGCATCTCAATAATCTTATTTGCAGATATCAATTGTGAGCAAAGCTCCAAATCAGTTGCTGTCCTCCTAAATGACAAGTTCAAATACAAGTAGGTCTTTTCAGTTCTGCTTAAATGAACAAGGACAAGACTTCATTTGCAGATTCAAAGATTTTGCAGGCTTCCTTTTGGTTTGTTTGTTTTGTTTGAAATCTGGAAAGCTTTGGGGCAACTGTATGAGTTTAGCACTAGTATTCATGCAGCTGCTACGCAAGTATGATATGTTGTTTCTGCATTGTGTAATATGAGGTCATTATTTACTAAAGTGATGTGTTTGGTAACAATATGGACAAAATTATCTTATACTTTTTTACATTTGCTTTAACAAACATTCATTGGTTTCAGAACATATTTAGAAATGTCATTTAGATGATCATGGGACAATAACACCCTCTAAAGAAGTCTAGAGTGATGATAGACAGAAGTTCCACAATATGAAGGTTAGAGGGTCTTTAAATTGATGTTTTATGCACTAAAAACAAAGACAAAAAAGACAATTTAATGAACAATAAATACATTGTTTGTATTTATCTAATATAATAAGATAGTAAAGAATACAAGGAGTCAAGAATGAAATTGAGCCCAATATCATATGATCAAGAGAAAAACGTCATAAAGACATGGAGACTGGACGATATCTGTCTCACAAACACCGAGTGGCAAATAATGTCCACATTGCGGTTTTTGATGTCCCATCAGTAGAAAGAAAAAAAAATCAACTTCCAATTTAGCCACTAGATGGCAACCTTAACTCAGACATACTGTATATGTATGCAATTATCCGACTGAAAACGGTTGTAGTAGATTTTACTTCCAGAGGAGATTTATCACACACGTACCAAATATAATATATCTTATTTATATTATACTAGATTTAATTAATACTTTAATTATTGGTAGCATCAATGAATTTACCTTAGGCTACTCTGAGAAAATTATAATATCCACCTCCATAGCGTGGCATAGCCTACGTCCTAACCGTGTTTGACGTGACACAAATGATCTCTGTCTAAAGTATGTTTTCAGTTGGACTGCATTTTAAAGTGAAAGTGGACTGAACTGTCCACATCCTGTCCAACCAGGCAAATCAGATGATCACCGAGCAGAAACGCCGTTTTTTTTCTGTTGGGGTTCATTTACCCAGTTATAAATCACAGACAGGATATTGAATATTTGGTCTTCAAATTAAAGTCAGAACCACAGCACTGGTACAAAAGTGAAACTATATTATTAAAAGAAAATTACCTCTAGTAATATTATGACACATTTTAATAGAACAATAGAATAAACTATAATACCAATACGTTAATATTTGGAAGTATTTTGAATGCACACCTTTTTTGATTTTTGATTTTTATATTTATTCTTATTTATGACTTGACTTAAAGCATATTAAGAGCCTCTGTACTAGAGTCAAATTCCTTGTGTGTTTAACATGCTTGGCCAGTAAAGCTGATTTTCATTCAAACTATAAAATAAAAAGATATATAGGTTAATATAATAAGAATACAGCCCAGGCAATGCAAGGCAATTTTATTTATATAGGACAAAAGACATTGCATAGTACTTTTCATTGTGCATATATAAAAAAAAATGTATTCACATAAACAATCGGAAGATAAAAGATTAAGTGTAAAATAAAACAAATTAAAACAAAAAAGCATACAAGTTTAATAAAAGTGACATTAATTAAAAGTAATGGATAAAAGAATAGTCTGGTTTTTTAAATGAATACAGTCAGGACAAATCAAAATTCTAAGGGAAGCTGATTCCAGCAGTGGACAACATAAAGTTTAGTTTGAAATCTGGCCACTGCTAGATGACAAGTCCATGCAGATCTGAGACAGCTATAAGGCTTGTACTCAGCAAACATAGCTCTGATATATGAGAGAATTGTATGGAGTAAGTACAGCTTTAAATTCAATTCTATATTTCACTGGATGCCAGTGCAGGGATCTAAGGATTGGAGTGATGTGTTCTCTCTCTTGGTATTTGTCAATATTCTAGTAGCAGCATTTTGAATGCATTGCAAAAATATAATTTATATGATCATAAAAAATATAAAATTATTTATATTTAACTATGACAGTAAGAAAAAACAAATTCAAAATGTGCTTTATAGGTAGAATAATAAAAACAACTAAGACCATGTAATAAAAAGTAACAAAACTGCATCAGCTGGAACAGTGGTTAGCGCTGTCACCACACAGCAAGAAGGTTCTGTGTTTGATCCCCAGCTGACTTGGTGCCTTTCTGTGCAGAGTTTGCATGTTCTCCCTGTGCCTGCATGGGTTCTCTCCAGGTGCTCTGGCTTCCTCCCAGATGTGCAGCTTAGGTTGACTAGTGACTCTAAATTGCCTGTAGGAGTGAGGGTGTGTGTGTGTGCTTGTCTGTCTCTTATTGTCAGCCTGTGATAGACTGGTGACCTGTCCAGGGTGTACCCCGCCTCTCACTCAGTGTCAGCTGGGATTGGCTTCAGCCCCACCGTGACCCTGTTCAGGATAAGTGATATAGATAATGGATGGATGGATGGAAAATAGTCTCAGTGTTTACACTCAACCACAGTAATATCAATATACATTAAACAAGATGACAAGTCAAAAGAAAGCAATTTTCAGATAGCAAAGCTAATGGTAAATAAAAAAAAACAAAAGAATTTATTAAAATAAAAAAGAAAAAGGCTATATCCATTAACATACTGTATTTCAACTTTATGGGAATATTATCATACAATATTTTACTATTATACAGTATTGTTTCAAGGCAGCAGAAAAAGTTACACTACAATTAATGTGCTCATTTTACGACTGTGCAAATTTTGCGTTTCATGTGGGGTAATCAATTTTGGATGTTGACACAAACAGAAGCTGGTCTGTGGACAGCAGAAAAAATGTTAAAAGCAGCTGTAAAAATTAAAACAACTTTTATTTGTATAATTTAAGACATGTATGCATAAAGAAAGCTATTTTAACGTAATTTAATAACCATAAAAAGGGTTAAATGAAGTTATATTATGACTAACAGGCCTAATCATTTATTGAATTAACAAAATAAGTTTTGCTGCCTTAAATTTGACACTTTTAGTTTGAAAGTTAAAACCGGAAATCCTGTGTGGTTCGGTTGATGTGACCTTTATCCATTCAAAAGCTACCACACAGTATAAAACAACCGCAGTGGCTGGCTAGTGATTAACAAAGTGATAGACTATCAGTGGTAAATAGACAGCTGAAAGCATATCAGTAATCGTGAAGTAATTTTAACTGTCCAAACTTTAATACTGGACTTCCACGACGCTGCTGGACTGAAGAGGACGTGGGTATCGCCAGCGGAAGCTGTGACTACTTAGTAATATAAACATAAAGACGCCGTGAGCTAACAGTCAGCAGATAGGCGAACGCCCATGAGTTTTGGCTGGACATTTACAGCTAGCGTTTTCCTTCTGTGGCCCAATCAGCCAACCCACCGGCAGACCCCAACAAAGCAAAGGTGAGTGCCACGCAGACAAAATAACAAAAACAAAATAAACGCTGCTTTCTACCTTCTAGCGTTGATTAAAACGCAACTAGCGTAATTGCGAATTCGCCGTGTGAGTTTCTATGGTGATTTCACAGCCGTGGCTCTGCAGTCGAACAGTGCGTACTATATGGCTTGGGAACCTCCGTTGCATTGTGGGGTGTGCCGGCCATCTTGGTAGCTGTGGTAGTAAACAAGAGCTTGTTAGAAATTCGCGAGACAAACATTAAAACACACTACCAAAACACTTGCACTGCTTTTAAGCTGTGCAGTTTGAACAGAATCTTGTTGCTCGAATAGTGAAAGAAAGCGCGAGAAAGAACGGGATTTACCGTGACAAGTTGTCACAGGAAGTAAGGGACTGGTTTTTTGTAAATGATGCAACTTGTTAGTGGTTTGTTAACCATACGAAGGAAAGGGACGACGAAGGCAACAATTGAGAAACTGTGTTGTCTGTACCAAGCTAATACATCTATGGTGCCAAGGGTCAGAGGAGCTGGAACACATGGTTGCATGCGCAACCAGAACTGTGCGGTCCAGTGGTTTCACTTTAGTTATGTGGGGCTTAATTATACCCCTGTTGCTGGTGACCCATAGTTTTGTCCATCTGGTTGGCTGTAGACAACCGCACCCCCTTACAATCTACTACATAGCAACATCAATATCTCGTAGTGCACATTTTTCTGTACATAGTTTAATAGCTTTTGATTTATATTTTATCCAGTTCCAGTAGTTTACCATGGTTACTTGAAGCCTTTAAACATGTCACCGTCATGTGTACATTTATACTTGTGCAATGTATAGATAAATATACCAAAGAGAAAAAACATGGCTACTTTTTATAAACACTTATTTGAAATATATCACAAAACAGGATCACTTTTAAAACTGAGGAATGAATGATCTTTTAAAATTATAGGTGTCTTGTCACTAACTGGCCCATCCCACAAGGTATTATATGGCACTGATATAAGAAAAGACATTTCATCTATTTCTTCTGGTGCAATTCCCACAAACAACATACTCAGTTTTGCAAAAATAAAGAGAACATACTGCAACAGTTACAATGTGTAATTTGTCTAAAAATAAAGCAAACATTTCATACATAAAACAAAACTACTGCCAGTAAACACCCATAGAAATAATAAAAAACAGGAAATAGCACATCTGGGTAGAGGATCATCTATACAGTGTATCTTAGGAAATAGAAATATCTTGAAAATCCTTGAAATCAATTTTTTTGCTTATGAAAATCCTAGAGATCAAAATGTGTGATTATTAATCTGCATTACAGTATTACAGAACTAACTACGTTTCACAACCACACTCGGGCACCTAACCCTCACATGGAAGCACCATACTGAGGGATACTTCTGCTGCTAATATGCCAGTCACTCTTTCACTGTGGAATCGGAGGTGAGCAGTCTTTCCGCATTTTCTCCACATCTCTTGCATCCTACTGGCAGCGTCCTTTTGTGAGTGCAGGGATCTTTCCCTCTGCACACAAGTCCAACACTATCAGTGATGTTAAAGCCATGATCTGCCAACACCAAATCACTAGGCACCAGTTTATCCAGAATCCCACATTTTTCAGTTATATGCTTATCACTGGCATGCTCTCCCCATCCCTTTTGAATGGGTGATATAGAGCCCTATGGTGTGACCACAGTAAGGTATTTCATGGCTATGTTTTGTTTGTAGTGGGTAAATGACTGAGCTTGTGCTTTAGGATTGGACAGTCTCTGTGTGTCTATTTCAAAATGGTCAGGAATTACAGCAAAACATTTCCCAAAGGCCTCCAAAAACTGATGAGACATGTTAGTGACATCACCAGCCTCTTCTCAGAAGCCTTGCAAGCTTCAGTTCCACCTGCTGTTTGTTCTCTATCCTCTTCCAGCAGTGTTGGTGCTGCTTCTCTTTATGTGGTGTCATCAACTGCAGTCTCATCCATGGCTGGTATACTCTTTATCCTTCGCTGTTTTCTGTTTGCCCATCTGGCAAACCGCTCAGTCTCTGAGGGCTTGATCTCACTGTGACCCAACGGTGTGGAGATGGTGCCCAGTCTGGATGTGATTTGCACATTTCATATGCTGGTTTACGTGGCAACACAGCCAATCTCTCATGTTAATAACTCTGGATATGATTAAATAGAATATCATGCTGGGTAAAGCACAAATCTAGCATAATGTATTTACTCACAATAATTGTACAATCACATGTACAGCTTATTATGAAATACTCAGGGTGTGTGTGTTTGTGTGTGGGCACAAGAGTGAAGGACAGCAATATAAAAATTCACTTTGATTAACTTACCAGAATAAAAATGTAAGGAGCACACTCTCATTGATGTTGTTGAAAGAAATATGTTTTCTTCTTACAGCAGACCGAAGCCATTCAACACATCTTTGTTAACTTTGCAACGTGGCTTTCCTCATTTTGATGACAGGCCGGAAAGTGGTGAAAAGTTACCCCGTTGTTTTATATTTTTTTTATCATTACCATTTTCATGTGAAGCACTGCTGCACTTTGTCACACAACAGCGTCTTACCATAACTGCATAGATGAATAAAATGAAATATGAACAGAGCTATGAGCACCTGACTGGTAGCACGGCTAACAAAACACGTAGCCTCCGACATGGTGAATTTCACAGAATGTGCTGTGGTGTGATGCCACAGTCCCAAACCCTATTATGTAATAAATCAATGGCAACAATTGCTTAGATGCAAGTTTAGCGGCTATATGCTCCTCTTACCTGGTCTGCAGATGGTCCCAACATACTCTAGTGTGGACTGACATGTTGAGGAACAGTCTGTATTAAACCTGTGATTGATAGATAGATAGATAGATAGATAGATGTGGTTATCAGTAGCCTAATGTTACTTTCCATGATGCAGTGTGCCATGCAGTAGTGCTGAGTGGTATAGTGTGCATTAATGTTAATTTGTTACAGAATCTGGATGATTTGTGGAAGAGGTGCATTTAGGCTACAGTTTGAACAAAGTACTGAAAATACGACTCTGTTGACATGCACTGCTGTGTATTGGGCTACCCCACATAGCCTTGGTGTGATCCTGCTGCAGTGTTGGATGTACGCAGTCTCCTCAGTGCTGGTGCTCTGTTACCACTTTCACCTGACAAGAGCCAGGAGCAGAAATGGGAGACTGACCATCATTGACAACTGTTCCAAAGTGTCAGACAACTGATGCACCAACGTGCCCTGGTCTGTTACTGGATCCCTGATTTCAGCTTTTCTTGTTCTCTCTCTGCATTTCATGAAGCTTTTTCCTTCCGACTTTCGTTCTGTTATTAAGTCAACAACTCCTCCATTCGCAAGTACCATATAGATTAATAAGTAAGCACGTTTTACATTTAAAGGCCTCAGATATCAGTTCTCCTCTGTAGTTGTAGTGAGGATGAAATGGTGATGGGTACACCCAGCACAAGCCATGTTGTATGACATGAATAAAGTGAAATTTGAAGTCACTACATAAATAGTTTTTAGATTTTTAGTTGAACTTGGTTGATTTGAGTTATGCAGTGAACCTCTGCCAATGTCTGCCTGTCACATACTGTATTTCCATGTTTTCCATCCTCTGCTTATTTCCATATAAATGAAGGCTAATCCCAGACTTTGCATGCAAAACTTTTGTTGAGGCAAGGCGCACAATCCAAGATCACAAGAGCAACCAGCTCATTTGCCAGTCAAATGGAGTTTCCAATCAGTCCTCTTTTGAAGAGCTTGTTGCCTGTGCACTGCTCTGCTAGATAACACAGAGCTATAAATTTGAATGCTGAGTATATCTGGGAACATCAGAATTGTATTAATGCAAAGAAAGAAAGAAAGGTAGGTAGGTAGGACTTTATTGATCCCACAATGTGGAAATTTCTGTGTTCCAGCAGCAATAGAAAGCGGAAAGAAATAATTTGGTTTGTTTGCACAGATGGAAGGAAAACAACCAGTATTTGTGTGCACACAATAGGATCCAAAATTATTGTTGTTTTTTGGAATATAAATTTGTATATATGGCCTACATAGGGCTGCAACTGAGAATTATTTTCTGTCTGTTAATCTGACAATTATTTTCTCAGTTAATCCCTTATTTTTCTATAGATAGCTAGAAAATTCTGAAATGTGCCCATTATAGTCCAAGTTGATGGAGAGGGACAGAAAATCCTCACAAGTCTGAGGATAGAACCAAAGTCTATCTGGTTTAAACTTTGAAATAATTAGATTTAATTGTCAGAATAGTAATAGTAACAATTCGATGAATTAATTAATAGTTTAACCTCGAACTTGATAAAAAAATTTTATGGAGGGAAAATTTTAAATGTAGAATTTTCTAAATTGCAAGAGTCATCTCCTTGTCATGTGGTCTCCGCTTGGCATGTTTCCTAAATATATTCTGGGGTTAAGAGCAGACTGTAAAGCATAGCTTACATACTACCAAAACACTTAAACTGCTTTTAAACAGTGACATTTGATCAGAATATTGCTGCTTTATTAGTTATATTTGCAGAAAAAAACTGGCATATTTTCAATTTCCAGTTGCTGCTGCTTCAATGGAGATCTCTGGGCATGAAAAATATAAGTGGAGCAATTAATTTGAGATGCACAGTGATGTCAGTGACTCAGATTAATGCCAGGTGCTTTGCCTTGAGGACTGATTTATAAGCATTGGAAAAGTTGGAAATATAAATGGAGTACTGCTTTCCAGTGAAAAATGAGTCACTCATTTACAAAAATATGGGCATCACCAGTCAGGGTACATGACTGTCTCACAGCAACTTATCTGTTTTCCGCTCTAGCAAAATGTCATATGGTGGAAACTGTGCTGGGATTGAGTTTGTTATATAAGCACTTGGTTTGTGAAAGTGATGACTTCCATAAATGTTTTTTGTTTGTACTGTTTTCAGTTGAATTTCTCATGGTTATTGGGGTGGAAACTTTGTTTTATCATTATTTGCTTTAT